TTTTTATATGCAATTCAAGCGTTTAATAAAATGTCATAACAATTAAATTCTTCGTGCGTTTAATGGATCAGTCGATTGATTGTCTTCTGTGGCCATCTCTCTCACGACAAGTGGGTTCTTCTGGCGAGACCTAAATGCGTGATTCGGCCCAACGCTCGGATCGCAGTCCCAGTTTTCTGTGCAAATACAAACACATTGTAAACCACATACCAGTCCACTATTAGTGTCATTTCAATTTAGTTTATATAATATTACAGATATAGATATATTTATTGATTTATATAGTTTTTATACTTATATTATACCTGTTTTCGCCAAACGAGAGAGAGAGAGAGAGAGAGAGAGAGAGAGAGAGAGAGATGATATAGATAGTGACATAGTTTGAAATGACAATTTAAATTAAGAATATTGTGTGCAATAGTCATAATAAAGGGGGTAATGGTTATAGAAACAGACATTACCTGCCATTTTCGTCTAATCAAAAACCTTTTCAATCTGTCGGTTGCGATCGGGATATGGTTTGATGGCTCGCGTTTCAGCCAACTATCGGCCAGACATTGTTCAGCGCTCAGGCGTTCACTAAATATCACATACAAAATATATTACAGAGAAAGAAAGAATCACAACAAATATATAACAAAAATTACAATGAATTTTGTCATTAAACGAGTTAAAAATAAAAGCCCTTAAAAAAGTCATTAAACATAGGATTCAAACAATTAGATTATACATAAAAGTCAAAAATTCTCTTAAAAATAATGTATTTTAAGCTAAATTTTAGTTTTACAATGAGATGAATGGCACGAACTTTGGTTTCTTCACCAGTAATGACGATATGAATCGTTTGGCTTCTTCTGAGATACTGTCAAACGAGTCGTCCTCGAAGTCGTACTCCGCTTGAGTGACATTACATAACGTCTTGGCGTCGGTTTCATCCATGAATGGCGACAATCCGCTCAACAGTACGTAACAAATCACTCCTTTGAAGATTATTTTAACCATCATTAAAATAATAATTTATAATTACAGAGATATACATTCGTAACATTAGTATATTATAATATAGTTATTGGATTAGAGGGCAGGAAAAAAGTGTATTTGCATTTAACACTAACTTTTTGTAGTAATGTATTCATTAGCAAAATGTATAATTAATGCAATGGTTATTAGTCGACAAAGTGATTGGCACTTAAAATTATACCATTAATATATTTATAATAATTATTATTTTTCAAAGCCATTATGGGGTGAAAGGGGGTGATTGACATACACTGACACTTTGACTGATAGCTTACCGACTGACCACATATCGGAGGCCGGAGTGACGGCCTCGTAGTTGACAATCTCCGGGGCGACGAACTCTGGAGTGCCGAACAATATCTTCAGCGTCTCTTCGGGATTGTAGGCCCGGGCGAGTCCGAAGTCAATGAGTTTGATCTCATAGCTGGTCCGCGATTTGCATAATATATTCTCGGGCTTCAGATCTAAATGCATGATATTTTGGCGGTGCATATAAGCCACGGCAGCGCATATCTGGCGCACAAATATTATGCACTCGTATTCAGTGAGTATATAATCTTCGGCCACAATCCGCTCAAACAGTTCCCCACCCGAGACCCTAATGTATTGGCCATTCATTTAAAACAATGGCTAATAAAACAAATGTTTAAAACACAAAAATATTCTCACAATTCGGTAATTAATATAATCTCTTTGGCAAACTCGTAGGCGCTGTCCAGCTGTAGGATATGCCGGTGCCGTAGTTTGTTCATTATGTCCACCTCTCTGTACACCTGTTCCCTGTCCTTCGGGCGCAAACAGCGGATAATTTTCGCCGCTTTCTCTTTCTTTGACGACAATTGAATTACTCGTTTGCAAAGACCGAAACGACCCCTAAATGTGTGCAGAGAGAGAGAGAGAGAGAGAGAGAGAGAGAGAGAGATTAATGTATCGCATTATCATATCTTGTAATCAACAGCACCGGTCATTAAGCAATTAATATTACGATAAAAGCATTTTATGTGAAAACTACTGGTGCAAAAAAGGACAGTCACATCCAATACCTGCCCACTTCTTCTTTAATGTCGTAAATTTCACTGAAATTCACGTCCTTTTCGACGACTACATCCCGGCGTTCAATATCTATACAGATATTACAACAAAAAATATTTAATCAAATCATAAAACAGAAAGAAGAGAAACGCATGAAAATCGATGTTTTGAATTGAATGGGGAATTGAGTGCTAAATGTAATAATACCGGCGCTCTCTATATAATTGATGCCAAAGTCGATATCGTTATTATTATTGATATTGATATTATTATTCGTATTATTCTTATGGCTATTCGGGGCGTAGAGGAAGGGTTCCGACGGATTACTCCATTTACTGACACCATATCTATTGATGGCTCGGATACGGAACGTGTAAATTGAGTTTTGCTTAATGTCTTTCAATGTATAGGAATTGCAAATGTGATCGTCAGAGACGGTCATCCAATCCCCGTTGTCATCGATCTTATGTTCAATTGTATAGCCTATGACACGACTGCCCCCGTCATAGGATCCCAACGACCACGATATGTGAAGGCTGTCCCGACCCAGTAGTCGCACCGATGGCTGGCCGGGCGGGTCGGGCGGACCTGTCATTGAGATTTTAATGGTTTATATATGTTTTTGTGTTTGTTTTTATTATCAGATATATTGTATGCATTTTATGCATACAATTCAAGACTCGTTTCCACTAATTAAAGGCATTAAATAATTATAGGCTTTAAGAGTGAATGACTGCTCAATAGTTATGGCATTTGACGTATAAATAAATTATTTGCCCAAAGAATTAAAGCATTAGTTATTGTTTTTTGCGATTATTTTTCTGTAATGTTTAGTACAATCTTCGTTGACCTCAATATTATAATATATTTTTAATGTAATGAAAGTTATTGTCATAAATGAGTTATACGGCTGTGAATGTACTGTATATCTCGAAACTTCAGATACACAGTGCCATCGTTAATAATAGGTTTTCAAAACTACCCTAATCTCTCTCTCTCTCTCTCTCTCTTTCTCTCAAGTTTTTAACACCAATTGTAACCCACTTTCTAAATGAATGCCCTTTTTCTCTCTTCCATTGTATAAATTTATTTGTAAGTTATTATACATTAGTTTTTATTGTGTGTATTCATCACATCATTAATACTTTACGGCATTTATAATAATTTTCAGTTATTTTAAATTTTCAAATAAATTCCATTGTATAACAGTCTCAACAAAACAAATGCATAAATGCTTTCAATCATTTCATTTTGAGAGAGAGAGAGAGAGAGAGAGAGAGAGAGAGAGAGCAAAATATTTGTATAAAAACTATTTTCTTTTTTTAATATAATTAATGCTGTTTTTGAATAAAATTTGTGAATAAAAAATACATAAAAGCTTTATGCTTTTTTGATATGAATTATATGCATGTTATATAAATAGCGATTAATATGCAGTGTTTATGTGAGGGAAGGATAGGAGGAAAACAATAAGGGCTGGAAAATGGATGGGATTATTGTACAACCTTTGACCGCGAGTGATGTGTGCGCACGATCAGAGTGACCTAGGTCGTCGCTCACATCCACCTCGTATTTCCCGTTATCGCAGTCCATAACCCGTTTGATCACTAGTGTTGACATTTGGGGCTCATTTCGGACCTCAATTCTATCGGATTCCTCGATTTGTTTGCCCTTCAAAAGTGAATTTAATACATAAAATTTGTAATTAACCATGGAACTTTAAGTCAACAAATCTCGTTCAATTTAAACAATTTTTATTTTTATACTCATACGAAATAATTCTCTGCAATTAAGTTTTTTGGTTAAAATATGTTATTTGTTGTAAAGAAATGCTGCTTTTATTGCTATTCTCGGTGGCAATTAGTCGAAAGCCGAGAGACATTTAGATTTGGTTATAAAACTTATGAACGTTTACATAAAGAGAGCGATAAATTTACTCAAATAAAAACATAATTAAACAAATTTGTATGAAAACCAGGAATAAAAAATATCTTACAAATAAAAACTAATTAAGAATTTGCTAAATAATACAAAAAAAGTTATATTCTGTCGGTTATTATATTTTTGTTGGCAATTATATTTATGCATTTAAAAGCGTTATAGAAAATAAAATAAAACTTTTCTTTTGAATGCGAATAAAGTATTTTATTTATATTTTGTGTGTTTTTTATATCGTTAAAAGCGACACAAAAAATTGAATAAATAATTTGTTTTATTTTATAATTTAATTTATATTTTCTCCATAAGAAAAGAGCAGATTTTTTTATTTAAAATTTATATTTTCTATGAAATAAAAAATATATAATTTAATGTCTTTTTATGAAAGAATAACTATTTTTTTGTGACCGAATTATATGTTATATAAACAAAACAATAATAACCAAAACAAAAGTGTATTTTATTTCCTGACATTTATTTTATGACAAATTGTTTTGTGAATTGAAGAAAACCACTCAAAGAAACAAAAGTCTTAATAGTTATATGGCTTTAATGGCATTGAAGTTATGATATAGTTATTTGAATATAAAAAAATAAAACACAAAAAGCAATAGTTTTAAAGCAAACAATTCGTGTATTGAAACACAATATTATATTATTTTACATAATATACGGACAGGTAATTACCTTTTTAAGCCAAACAATCGCATAGGGTTTCAATGGTTTGGTGTTTGCATTGAAACGGGCCTTAATATAAGCCGTTTCGCCCACTAATACACACAGATTTTGTGTGATTTTAATGACTTTTGGGTGAATTAGCGGCGATATGTTGGCCGTTGTCTGCAGTAATGACAGACTTAGTGGCGATATGTTATGATTGTCCGCCGATTTATGATTTTTGTTGGCAAAGTAGTGATGCATTTGTTTGATTTGTTTCACTCGATGTCTACTTTGAGACAATGTATTTCCGTCAGACGTGGTTTGGACGCTCAGAAAATCAATCTTGGTAAATACTGTAGACCTGTCCTGCATTTCCACATACAGGTCTCGTAGTGTATTAACGGTCCGCACAATTACTAGTCTGATAGGCAATCAGTGAACCAAATAAAACCAATCGTTAATCGTATGGCAAATGCTATAACTAAATGGTGTGACAAAACATCAGTGAAGAGAGTGATAACACAATTTGTAACTCAAAGCTCATACGACACGACATTACATACATATAAAAAATACGGTTTGATTGACTCAATAGTCAAGAATTTTATGTAAAATTCTGGTCTATGTGTTGTGTAAAGGCTTTTCACAGTTATATATTTGTTATTGAAAATTTTTCAACCCCTCCGTGCACTTGACGTCTCTCTCTCTCTCTCTCTCTCTCTCTCTCTCTCATTCCTGTGCCATACAAATGATTTATGCGATACATTCATATGTATTCAACACTTTTGTCAATGAAATTTTCAAAGTCGTAAACCTTATGGTGTGTTTAGGTTTAAGGGGAAGAGTTTTGATGAAACTTTTATATATTAATATATTTCTGCAGTAAATTCTTGTGCAAAATTAAAATAAACATCTCATTCATAGGCAAACGAATTTTTCTCCTCTCATTTATATCGCAAAATTCATTTGACGATAAAAGTCGAGCACAAGAATTGGCTTTCAATGACTGAATGAAATTTTTTCAATTATAAGCAATAATTCTCTCACAGAATATGAATAATTCAGTGAATGAACTAAAAAATTTTATCTACAAATCGATGGCAAACATTAGTCTAATATCGCCATTAAATGTAAACTAAATTGCTTTGCAAACAGATTTATACATAATAAACATGTTTATTATGCGTTTAGTAATCACAGTTACAATGCATTTCTATGGTCACTAAATCGGCGATTAATGTAAAACAGATTAATATAACAAATTAAGCCATGTTTTTGTATGCATACGATTATGATTATGAAATAACTGCCATTAATACTCGGGTGACATGAAAAGGCATAGAAATCCCGGAGCTTTGCTACTAATGCCATACCATATGCGCCGTCAGGTTTGCAAAATATATATTTACTCCGCTTTTAATACACACCAGAGATGTATTTGTAATATGTTTTATATTATCGGTGTTTTTATATAACTTTTATATACAATATATGGTTTGTGTGCCTCAGAATCGCCCAACGTAAATTAAAATTACATTTATGCGTTACATAGTCAATTCTACCCCCATTTCCTACACAACACTCAACCCCACTCTGTTTGAGTCCCCGTCTAAACATAGTCTAAACTAAACACTGTTTAATGCCTTTTGTGTTTAATTAAACTTAATATTCATGAGCACTAACTTTCGGCATTAAAACTACTGTTTTTGCAATACTTCTTATAATTTCATTATATTTGTATAGCTCTCTCTCTCTCTCTCTCTCTCTCTCTCATTCACTCATTTACTCTCTTTTCTCTATCGTTCACCTCTTTTTTGCATCAAAATTTTCTCATTAATTATATGCCATTATTTATAATTTAATTGTTTTAGTGTGAAATTCATGTTTTCAAAGCTCTTTGTATTGCAATTCATTTAAAATGACAATTAATTCTCATAAACACTAATGCAATAAATTATTGCAATAAATAATAAAATTTCAAACAAACTATCGGTCAAATAACCTGGATTGTCTAATACGATTATAGCTGTCTACGATAAATAAATGCCAATTTATATTTATAACTGTACACTACAGTACATGTAAGTGCATTATATGCAAAATTGCAAAAAATATATTTTTATCATAATGTCCTGTATAAAAATTTATATTTTTATATATTAAACATATTCTACATCAAAGAGATAATAATAAAATTTCATGACATAATTGAAGCAAAAAAGTTTTGAGAGAGAGAGAGAGAGAGAGAGAGAGAGAGAGACGACTATTGGGAAGAATATCTCACGAGTATTTTAATTGAAGAAAAAATTTGTTTTCAAATCATTAAAATATTTTTCGACGATAACATAACATAACATAACGTAACATATTTGAGACACAAATTTTTGTTACTTTTTTGTCGACTAAAAATTTGTTGTTTAGAGTCTAAATATTTTTGTGTTACACTTCACGCACTCGTCAGATAAAAAACATTTGCAAATAAATAAATAAAAACGTTTTGAGACACAAATTTTTGTTACTTTTTTGTCGACTAAAAATTTGTTGTTTAGAGTCTAAATATTTTTGTGTTACACTTCACGCACTCGTCAGATAAAAAACATTTGCAAATAAATAAATAAAAACGATCTCAACATAAAATGGCCAGAAATGGGATGAGAGAGAGAGAGAGAGAGAGAGAGAGAGAGAATATCCTTATAAAGAATTTAGTTTTTACTTAAAATAACACAAAAACTAATGACAAAAGGGAAAGATAGGGCATCAAAGAGATGGGCAATAAATACTCACAATTGTTAGATGAATAAGCCGTTTGTTGTGCTAATACAATAGCAATCCAATTGGTTCTCATATTTTTTCTTCTGTCTGTAGGAATCCTAAGTATAGCCTTATTTATCTAAACATTACAATCAGACCAAAAGTCCTGTAATTATACTTAAAATATACAGACTATCTATAATTGCAATTGTTTTTATATTTTATAAACAATTTATTTAATGCCTTTACATAAAGCATTAAAATTTGTTGAGATATTTTGTTATTTATATATGTTTTCAAATATGTTTTGCAGAAATATTTGTAAATTTATGTCTGAATAGGAATTTATAACATATTGTTTTAAAATTTTGGATAAATGTTAAAAACTATAATCACTTTATTATTTGATTCAATAAATTTAATGTTTTTATTGATATTAAATATTTTAGTGAAAACTTACCTGAAATTGATAAATATTTAAATAATTTGTTAACTATTCATAAAACTATTAAATAAATAACACATGTGTTTAGCGAGAAGTGAAAAATATTTTTCATTTTATTAATCAATCAATTATTATATAATATAATAATAATATTAATGTTTTTTTTTGTTTAAAAATTTATCTGCTTTTTCCATACAATCATGTATTGATTTAGGGATTGTTTGAATATTTTTTATTTCATTATTTATTTATTTTTTGTTCAAAAAGGGATTAATGTTTGCATTAATTTGTATTTTGTCAGTGAATAGCAATCAATAGGAAATTCATAATCAATGAATAATACATACAAATGGATTTTCAAAGAGATTTATTATATTTATATATAATTATATCAATAATAATTAATCCCAAATATCACTATAAAATTAGAGAATCAATAGATAATCTTCTCATTGAGATAATCCACTCATACGTGTTATTAATGTTTTACAAAATATGATTTAAACCGTTGTTTTAATCCTATTTTTCAAATATATATCGAGATATTTTTCAAAGCAGTGGTCAATAAGTAGTTGTTTTTGTGGGTATTTTTTAACGATAAAATTATTTAATATTTTTCAAATAAAATTCCTGAATATATTTATGGAGAACAATATTATAGACTTTTAGCGTTAAACAGATTTTTATAATTAGTTTATACATAACTGTGATATTTTTCGGTTTAAATTAAACTCTGGTTATAATTTACAAAACCATTTTTGTCGATAAAATTTTTCAATTATAAATTTAATGTCAAATTTAGGAGCAATTATACGTTGTATTGAAATTTAAATAACATTTTAGTTTTTAAATTTACTAATTAATCGCTAATACTGTTAGGGATCATAACATTCTGTATGTGTTTATATTACCTGTAATTAGTATGTAATTCAATGGGTTATCATAAATATTGCAAATCATATATACTTGTAATTGACTGTTAGAGTTATAACTGTTTTGTATTATTTGGTTAAATATTGTTTTTATAACTATTATTCTGTAATAAATGACTAATTCTGTATGTTTGCCGAGAATTAAATACATAAATAACTAATTAAAAAACAAAAACATGTATTTCAATGCATAGAGAATGAAAAAATCTCAATATATAAATAGTATGAATCGTTTTTTATCAAGAATTAAAAACTAATTAAAAAAATGTTTGGTTTAATTGTGTTTTGCATTTGCTTTCCATGTATTGAAAAAAGTCTAAACTAAATATAATGCAAAAGAGATGTTTGTCTCGCAATACAATTAAACATAACGTTATATTTTGTTTGTAATACAAAAATCCTTTGACATATCAGACAAATGCCATCTTTAATCATAACACTAAATAAAATTGTAATCAAATTTATATGTATTTTACCCTAAACTTAATGGACAAGAGTTTTCTCTTTACGCACACAGAAAATTCCGGACAGAATTCATAATAATATGTTCAAAAATATGGGGTTTTCAATGAGCCATAAATATAATGCATAAATCAAACGCAAAAATCCTATTGAAATGCTATTCAAACCTTTGCGCCGATATCTCTCATCAAAGCACTGGTCATCTGAACCTAAATTTAGGTTCAGTTATCATAAAAATCGGGTTCAAAACGAAACCCATATATAAGGTGGTGGAGAATATCGGCGGCAAAGTATTTGTGCATAAATTATATATAATTAAAAAATATAATCAATTACTAATATTTATAATAATCACTGAATATTAAAACCTAATGAAAGAGTTGGAAGAATTGATTATTTAAAAAATAATAATAATATATCGATTCAAAAATTCATTGTGTAATCAAACGCAGCGATAATTATGGTGTTTAATGGATGGCATAAAAGTGAGATAAGAGTGAAAAATATTGGTTAAAATTAAAGACATTGACAAACTATTGAAATGCAATTTTTTTCTATGCCTGTCATATAATATCAGATAACAATTATTTATAAATTCTGTGAGAAATTCTGTGAAAAGAGACGTTTCGTAATATATATTAAAAAAGAGTTGGCATTCAAACGGAGAGAGAATATATATAATTATGATATATAGATATCTATATATCACGGATGGAGAATAAATTGATTGAATTGAAAATAATTTTTGGTTAGACTTTCGTAGAGAGAGAGAGAGAGAGAGAGAGAGAGAGAGAGAAATATGGTTGACTGCAATGAGAGAGCATCAGAATCTGGTGAGCGCATGTATATACGTGCATAAACTATAGATCTATACACATGTATACATACAATGCACTCATAGATAAAATATATTCTGAGCCCTTAAATCATATCTAATTTTAAAACCAACAAAAAACTCAATGCTCTCAACAAAATGGTGACAACAATTTGGGTCTC